CTAGCAATAGATTTCAATTAATATTTATTCAATGGGCCACTTATCAAACAAATACCAATTGCAATTATAAATTAATAACACACATAAGAACAACGAGATAATTAATGAATTAATAGATGAACAGGTAGAAATAGGTCTCACAATCACATAGGTTTGGACTAAATTCCCTTAAGCTGAATCGGAGACTTTAGCCACTCATTGCTTTTAAGACCATGAATTTATTTCCAAGAAAAGAGTCAAATCTGCTGTAAAAAAACTCTTTTATGGTTCTTCAAAACAAATTAATTTTTCCCTCGCCAAAAGAGAGCCAATAGAGAACGTGTTCTCTCCTTTTTAATCTGAAAATATCCTCTAAAAAATCAGATGAGGATAGAGTTATAATATAATCATAACTCTTTCTAAGTGTTCTCCTGAAAATCGAATCTCGATTTCCTATTCATCTTTCTTGTCAATTTCGAACCAGATACATTCCGAATTAGAGATTTCTTTCTTTAGAAAAGTTTTATTCCTATATGTTATCTTTCCAATGCCATTGGTTTTCCATCAATTAAAGGTCTAAAACTCGAGTTGCGTGCCAAACACCGAAACTCGTGTAAACTAGTCCGACCGAATTAGGAAACGACTTGCCAACTACTTTCCAACTTTAAACCCACCTACTTTGGACTTATGCCCTTCATCAATGTTGTGAATATGGGTCTTAACTCTTTATTAGGATTAGATTTGCATCAATTGGCCATCTATAACTCCAATTATGAATTAATGACCAAAACTAGTTACGAGCTTAATGGGATTCCACATCGACTTCTCTTATCGGATTTTGAGATATTATTTGGAGATCCAAAAGAACTTGGATTTTGACTCAAAAAATCATTTTGGAAAGCTTGAGATGTCCTCTATAAAATTTATGAAGGCCACTTCTTTCAATTCAAACTCTCAATCTACTAAAAACCTGTAAGAAAGACGAAGGGCTAAGTGAAAACGTGTTGGAATTCTTAACTTTTAACATAATTACTCCTAATCCCGAATTTATGTCTTATAAATAAATATGAACATTAATTAAACTATTAAGACATAAAACATAGCAATTCAACTAAATTTAAGGAGAATAAAAATATAATATAATGTGTCTATCAAAAAGTCTACTAATGTTCATCCGAAGTCTCATTTGACTGGAACTCATCCTATGAATAGAAAATTATGAAGTGACTTTCTCATATACCTTTTTGGTGCATAAGGTCAAAAGCTGAATTACCCCGTTGGTAATTTAGATAGTCTAAAAACTTGAAAAAACTTTAGGATTAGACAAGTTTTACTTAAATCCTAAAAAAATAAATCATATCTCGTTAGGATTATTCATTTAAGACACGAACTATCTTTAAATGATGTCAATTCTAACTCTTGTTTTTGCAGATTGTCACCTAAATAAATCATGACAAAGAATGACATTGAGAATTTTATAGTAAAATCAAAGCGAGGCCATATTGAGGAAGGAGACTCGTCTACTCATATATTCTATGTTAACACTAAAAAAAAAAGATATAACATACAAGCAACAAGTATATTATTGAAGAAAAGTCCATACTAGACTCGGAAATCCCATAATCATTACCGACTCACTATAATAGTCTAGAGTTATGAAGAGTCGAATAGGAATATGTACGTTGAAAATATTATGAGTATTGTAATATAATCTAACCGATCGTAACAATGATCATTATAATGTGAACAACCATACTATTTTTGTCATACAATGCAAAATGGCTCAAAATCATATTTAAAATGTGTTAAAAGTCTAAATTTTAAACTTTTCTATTAATGTTGCTTGTAAGATGTGCTCATCACTTAGGATAACCGAAAAAATTCCCTCAAAGACAAATCTGATTTGGGATAGGCATGCTTCCTAAATCCTCCAAGTATCTATAGGGTCATACCCTTAATGAGTACTAAAATCCGATCCGATCCGTCCTCGGTATAAACCCTATCATGATTTAAAGCTTACAACGAGCAAAGCAACGTATCCAACTCGGTTCACATATGCATATATGTTATATATTTACTATACATATCTCTTTTGAGTTGTTTTACGGGATCTAAGATATAGGTTGTCTCACCAAAACTTAACTCCCCTTCTCGAATCTGCTACACTCGACTCGGGTATCACTAAATAAAAAGTGAAGAAAAAAAAACAATAAGAACATACCCACCAATAGGAACTTGACAAAATACAAAAGAAAATTACTCATTTGACTAATCTGTTAGAAAAAGCCATATTAGCATTATCGACTTAGAGAAATATTTTAACCTAAAGCCAAGCTCCGGGTAATACACCGCATGCCCTCTCGGTGCCCTATTTATAGCCTAGGTCATCTATTACAACACCTATCAATCTAGGGATAACGTCATTACATGTTGAGACTTCTTGTCTAATTTGGTCGTTCACTTATGCAATGGATTCACAAATTCCACAAATGCAAAGAGCTTTTATCGTAGGCTTTATTAGTGAGGAAATGACCAAAGCCAAGATGATAGAGGGGTCCAATATGGATGAACTTTCTTCCATCGAAAAACTCTTTCGAGCTACCGAATGAGATGATGTCTATGGCCTTGTAAGAGCGGCTAAGTTATACTTGGTACATGTCAATGACTCACCTATGAGTATACGATAGCAAGATGGTCAAAGTTGTGCATGATGAGAAGTTGGTAATACACTTCATTTGCAAGAGTCCGAGTGGATCTACTTTGAGCTAGTACATAAGATTGAATGGTGTCAAGATCAAGAAATGAGGAGATCTAACCGATACTTTCATCCGATAGAACAAATTTAATAAAAAGGTTGCTCCAAATCGATCGGACCTATAAAGCAATCAAAACTAAAAAAGTTTTTAATTGTTTTGAGAAAAAAGTAGTGATATCAAGAGAAGAAAAGATGAAGTATACCAATTTAGGATTGAATCCTTTCGATCTAAAAATCAATAAAGTAATCAGGAAATATATAGCAACCATGAAAATCCCAATAAACATCCAACACCTTACATCTACCAAATATACCTCCAACCTAATAGCCACAATAACTGTCATTTTGTCAAAGCCAAGTACAACCATATCCAAAAACACAAATGCAACCACCTTCAACAAATTAAGCCTACTAGTCATGTTCACTAAATCGGCCAAACTAGTTCTATTTTCCTAATCAAACTTACCAAGCGAGTTGATTCCTCCGAGATGCTCCAACATTCAAAACCATGGACAACTATGCCTTAACTTTTCTAATTAAATGAAATGTTCAAGCATCTAGTAAGCATCGAGAAAATCACCATGTTTTAGCCTAACTTAATGAAACCCCATTATCCTTCATGGTACAAATCAAATGAGAGATGTGAATGTCATTCTTGTACTCGGTAGGTATAACATTGATAATTTTCCTACTTTTAAGTAAAAACTATTAGATTTGGTTAAGTAACGTTAGATTAGTTTTGATAGCGAGTTTAGATGCTTCCAACATGAACATCAACATACTTGCAAATCACCGATTGTCCATGCCCGAGATGGAGTAATTGAGTGAATTTTTTTTTTAAAAAAAATTGATGTATGCTCATAATTTACAACTATAGTCTTTTAATTTGATCAAATTTAAAAATCTACTTCCCAAAAAAAAAAAAAAAAAAAGCAAAAAACAAGAAAAACACATTTTGGGACTAATGATGATTCTCCACAAATAATATAAAGAGAAAATATTAAAATAAAAAATTAAAAAAAGAAAAAGAAAGGAAAAGAACAAAAAAAATGAGAGAAAAAAGGTAAAAAATAAAAATAGATAAAAAGAAAAAAGAAAAGCAAAAATATAGAAAACACTCGGGTGAAAAATCAACAAAATCTCATATCTAATAGGGATTGATGTTGACTCAAATCAAGCACTTTTTAATAATTAAGTCGTTCTCCATCGCATCAATTATGCTAAAACTTAATTTGGATCCAATATTGAATTGACGAAACGCTCGATGGAGGGATCCGATGATCAATTCAATATGATGCTAAAAATAAAAATAAAAAAAATAATTTGGCTTAGAAAATATAACTTGAAATTTTGATTTAGGATCAATTTTGGCAAAAATAAAATTTTTTAAGAGATAAGTTTTAGGACTAAACTAAACATAGTACCTTTCTTAGGAAATTATGTTTTTTAGGTGATGAATATTTTTCTAAATGAATAACTAACTTCTTATTCTACAATCTCTAAGGCAGTATCTATTTTAGGTTTCTAATTATCTTTAATATTAGATGACGACTTCAAGATTGATAAATAACTCTTATCCCCAAACAGACAAATTTCAATCAACTTATTATTTTGGGAGTTCCACGAAGTTGGGTTGTTACATAATAACAACACATGTCAAAGAGGGTTTTTATTCCTTGGCAAAATTACTGAGATCTTTGAGCCAGATAAATTGTACCTTAGTTTTTTGCGTAAGCGTGTGTCATGTGAACATGCATGGAGTCACGCAACTTCTTTTTCTTCGATCAAGTCTCGATCAGTCTGGTCAGTTTGTGACCCTAGCTGCCTATATATACTCGTGTGAAGATTGAAGAATCTCATGCCAAGCCTTTTTGTTAAGTAGCTACCAAATATTAGCATTGCTTTCTTCTGCCCTATGATTCATTCACACTCTTTCCAACTATATATAATGGAATACAATCAACAAGTACATGTTGGCCAAAAACATTTGCAATTCCAGACCAATTCTGAAGACTTAGATATGATACAAGAAAGGCGGTCCGCCAATTATAAGCCAAATATTTGGAAATATGATTTCCTACAATCTCTTTCTAGCAAATATGATGTGAGATTTCTTTCCTTTTCTCCTTTAATTTAAAGCTTTGCACAACGTTTCCTTTTTAAAAAGAAAAAGGCCTTCATCAATTTGAAGTTTTCCTCTATTTATAATTTGCATATGCAAGGTTCATGTTTAATTGTTTGAAGACTATGATTCTGATTAAATCAAATGGTTAAGACCAAGCTTCTGAATCTGGTGTTTTCGCAGGAAAAGCAATACCGAAGGGTGACTCGGACGCTAAGGGAGGAAGTTAAAAACATTTTTGTTGAAGCAGTGGACTTATTGGCTAAGTTGGAGCTTGTAGACACCGTCAGAAAGCTAGGCCTGGAGAGTTACTTTGAGGAGGAAATCAAACAATCTCTTGACATCATAGCAGATTCGGTCAAGAACAGCAATATTCTTAATGTCGAAGAGAATCTTTATGTCACTGCATTATGCTTCAAGCTCCTCAGGCTGCATGGATATGAAGTTTCACAAGGTGAAAGTTCTTCTTGGTCTAAAAAAATTACCACTTCCTTAAGTGAAAGTGTTTATACTGAATTTTTAGTTTTAATTATTATTAGCGAGAGTTTGGTGAAAAAGACTCTTACACACTATCAAAAAAAATTATTTTAACACAAAAGTTTGAGCTCAGAATGCGGTTAGGTAAAGCTCAAGCTCATGATATTGTTTCATATTGCTCATTGACAAATAATTAAACTGCAACTCAGGTGTCTTCAATGGTTTTTTCGATGGTAGTTTCAACAAAAGCAAACTCACAGATATTAAGGGCTTGCTAGAGCTTTTTGAGGCCTCACATTTAGCTTACGAAGGTGAAGCTATCCTGGATGAGGCCAAAGCTTTTTCAAGCAGAATTCTAAAGAAGATGAATTCTAGTACTATTGAAAGCGACCTTGCAAAGCAAGTGATGCATGCTTTAGAACTTCCTTCCCACTGGAGAGTCTTGTGGTTTGATGTCAAATGGCACATCAACGCGTACGAGGACGGACAAATCAATAGACATTTGCTTACCTTGGCTAAAGTGAACTTCAACATGGTCCAAGCCACACTTCAAAAAGATCTTAAGGAGATTTCGAGGTATAGTCTTCTACAAAAGAATCCTGTTTTTTTTTAGTATTAACAGGAAATTAATAATATCCCTATACATTCTTGAATATACTGTCACGGACTTGTTTTTTTTTCAAATTTACAGGAGGCACTTGGCTCAGTTTTCTTTTAAATCAAACTAAGTCAGCCTTTTTTTCTTGTAAAGTATAAAAGACAAAAAAAAGTTATAGAAAACTATTTGTATTGATGTCAAATGGTTATAACTCTAGATTGCAACTTTTTCAGATGCTTTCTTAGATTTACGACATATTCAGAATTTTTTTTTTGATAATCTAGAAGCTTCTCTTGTGTTTTAGAGACTTTTCAGAAGTTTTCAAACCTATCAGGATTTTCTATTAACTTTTAAAACTGGCCTTTTCGTGTGGGGGGTGTTGTGATTAAAGATTTGAGATTTCTATTAGTAGTGGTTTCAAATTCTGAAAGCATACAAATCACACATGCAAGTACGACTGAAACACAAAAACAAGCCTTTGTGATTACAACAACCAAATAAAATTAAAGTTTATGTTTGTTTTTGTTGCATTTGTAGGTGGTGGAGGAATTTGGGTCTAATAGAGAATCTGAGCTTCACAAGGGACCGACTGGTCGAGAGCTTCTTGTGCACTGTAGGACTTGCATTTGAGCCTAAGTACAGCAGCTTTAGAAAGAGGCTAACCAAAGTTATAATCATGATATTGATCATAGATGATGTTTACGATGTTTATGGTTCTTTGGAGGAGCTACAGCAATTCACAAATGCTGTCGATAGGTTAGTATTGTCAATTGTCTTCGTCACATGGATTACATATATAATAAACTTAATTATCTGAGAGAAATCTAATCAATGTTTTAAATCGATTCAGATGGGATACAAGGGAAGTTCAAGAACTACCAGAATGTATGAAGATTTGTTTCCAAGCACTCCATGATATAACCAATGAGATGGCTCTTGAAATGCAAAGGGAGAAGGGTTGGGACCAAGTTCAACCTCATCTAAAGAAAGTGGTAATTAATTATCTATATATGCTAACCTTTCATTCATTCCCATATCCATCAGAATTCAGAAAGTGCTTATTATCATTTGATTCCTTTTTGGTTTTTCAGTGGGCGGATTTTTGCAAAGCAATGTTTGTGGAGGCAAAATGGTTCAATAAAGGATACACCCCATCCATGCAAGAGTATTTGAGCAATGCATGGGTTTCATCGTCAGGCACTGTGCTTTCAGTTCATTCATTTTTCTCTATAATGACTGGGCAGGTGACAGAAGAGACGTCAAATTTTCTCGAGAAAAGTCAAGATTTGGTGCACAATATTTCTCTGATAATTCGGCTTTGCAATGATCTGGGCACTTCTGTGGTAATCAATTTTTCCTAATTACAAATGCATCCCTTAATTTACTATAGCATGTTAATTCAATTAAGCCGACCATGGGCAATTTGAAAAGACAATTTACAGAAAAAAGAGTATAATTTCAAATAACGATCATTATGTTATTTGACATTATAGAGGCTCCATTGCTATTTTATATGAATAACGATGTTATCATTATGTAACATCGTTATTTGTCAATATTTAACGACTTCATATCAAAAAAAGAAAAAAATCCAAAATTTCAATTTTTGTATTAAATTAGAATAAATTTTTTATAAGCTGTCAATGTATTTACAATATCGATCATAATCATTATTTTACTATCGTAATAAGTTGCAACCTGCTATCACAACTATTTTTTAAAATAACATTCGTAATTTAAAATTGTAAGCAGGAGGGATTAGTTATTTATATATACAATGTGTTGGTACAGGCAGAGCAAGAGAGAGGAGATGCTGCTTCATCGGTAGTGTGCTATATGCGAGTAGCGAATGCTTCGGAGGAAGTTGCAAGGAATCATTTAAAAAACATAATAAAGAAAACATGGAAGAAAATAAATGGACAATGCTTCAGTGCAAAATCACCTATGCTGGAATTTTTTGTCAATATCAACACCAATATGGCACGGGTGGTACATTACCTTTACCAATATGGAGATGGATTTGGTGTTCAAGATCGCCAGGAGAATAAAAAGCAGATCCTCACCCTCCTTGTCGAACCTTTCAAACTCGATTAATTACCATTAATTTCCTTCTAAGTATTTGCTTCTTGAAAATTTAAGCTTGTAGTTTAGCTAGCTAATTATTTCTAAGTAAACTCAGCAATGCTATTGTGAACATAGCATTGCGCTCGGAAGCAAACTCAGTAGGGTTGTCATTGTTGATGAGCCATTGTATACGCTAAATGCATGTAATTTGGTTCACATGAGTACACTATATGATAATTTTATCTAGTTGGAAAAAATTGCTGAAATTTAAATTTTCAAAACATTCAATTTTCAGTAAGATAACTCAATTTCACGAGTAATTATTATTATTATATATATTTACGAGATAGTAGTGTATTTTTAAATCAAATTTCATATCGATTAAGATTAAATCTAGAATATTTTTTTTTATCGTTTTTCGCTCTTTGAAAAAAAAAAAAAACAATAAGAAGCTATTGTAGCAAAAAAAAAAAAAAAAAAAAAAATCATCACAAAATCTTGTAAGAATTCGATAAGACTAAGAGATCAATAGTTGCATGAATGATGGAAATCGTGTCTTTTCTGTGTAAGTATTTATATGTTTTACTTTTATTATTATTATTATTATAAAAGAGAATTCAAATTAAAAAAATTAAAAAATTTTTAATATTGATTGAATTACAACTCATAAACATGTGTGTATTATCCATAAATGTAGAAGTAAATTAAATATATATAGTATAGGATGTTGTACAGTTAATACCAACATATGATGCCTTGATTTGCCAAGATTCAATTTTCAGCGCATGCATAGATAATTAGTCATAATTATTTATTAATAATATTAAATTTGAGTTTATTTGATCTAAAACGAAGTCTAATAATCGATTAAAGGCTAAACGAGTATTTTAGTATTTGCATTGGTTTAGTCCAAGAAGTAATAACTTTAATTTTAGTTAAAACAAAAACTGATTGGGGATTATATATATATATATATATATATATATATATATATATATATATATATTCAATTTAAAAAGTAACTTCATATTCAACATCCATCAAGTCTTCCGTGCTAAACTAGTCTCTCAAGGGACTTACTAATTAGTGATCTGATTCATTCGCAGTTATTGATGAAACAATCTATCTTTTACAGTGGATTTCAATATTGACCTACAAAACTTTCTCTGTTTAAGTTAAAAGAATTTAAATTTATATTTGTAAGCACCAAAAATTAATAAGAACTAAGAAGAAACTTGTGATTGGAGGCGATCCGAGAAGCAAAATATATCCCGTGGGCCACCCAACATCGGACCCCATGTGTCTCTAAAAGTCAAAACACATTATGTTATTTCAATTCAACGTACGGGACCGACACGGAGAGTGGGTCCCTTATCTGGCCATGCGAATGTGTTACACGCTATGAAGTACGGACGCAATGTAGAATCATGATACCGCAAGATACGGATATAGTAACACGATAATTCTTAAAAATTTAAGATATCATGCTTGAAAAATATACATAATAATATGTAATAAATTGAATTTATGAATATGTGAAGTTATAAAATAAAAAGATAAACGTTATGTTATTTATTTATTTTTTATTTATGCAACTTATATTATCGAATGTTCGTGGACAGCTCCAACACTTGAGAAGTTGTTAATTATAAATTTTTAAAACATGAATGTTAAATAAGAAAGAAGTTGAATTTAATAGGAAAAAAATAAGCTGGAGCTTGTTGATGGCATCGGAAAGCTAGGCCTGGAGAGTTACTTTGAGGAGGAAATCAAACAATCTCTAGATATCATAGCAGATTCGATCAAGAACAACAATATTCTTAACGTCGAAGAGAATCTTTATGTCACTGCGTTATGCTTCAAGCTCCTCAGGCTGCATTGAAATGAAGTTTCACGAGGTGAAAGTCCTTCTAGAAAATATTTCTTTTGGGTGTCAAAGCTATAACCGTAGATATTCATTCATGCCTTCTTCTTCTTTTTTTTTCAAAATCTTATGGATCCCTTCCGGTAACCACAACTTATAATCCTGCACTGTTTGGAACTAGCAGCCACTAGCCTACACCTGTCATAATGTGCAACTCAGGTGTCTTCAATGGCTTTTACGATGGTACTTTCAACAGAAGCAAATGCACAGATATCAGGGGCTTGCTGGAGCTTTTTGAAGCCACACATGCATTTAGCGGACGAAGGTGAAGCTATCCTGGATAAGGCTCAAGCTTTTTCAACTAGAAGTTTAGAAAGTACCATTGAAAGCGACCTTGCAAAACAAGTGGTGCATGTTTTAGAACTTCCTTCTTGTGGTTTGATGTCCAATGGCACATCAACACGTATGAGAATGACAAACAAATGAATAGGCATTTACTTGCCTTGATTGGCGAAAGTAAGCTTCAACGCGGTCCAAGCCACACTCCAAAAAGATCTGAGGGAGATTTCCAGGTAGTCTACAACAAAAGAATCTTACTTTTTTTTTTTTTTTTTTTTGGTCTTCTCTAATATTAACAGAAGTAAAACTAATAATGGTCCTACTTATTCCTAAGGATACGGTCCAATGGTTAAAAAATTGAGATTTTTATTCGCAGACTGATCGAATCATGAAAGAAGTGAACAGAGATTTAAAAATTTTAAAAAATAGCTACTTCGTAGTCTAAAATCCAAAGAATATCTCTGTTGAGCACGAAAAAATATAAATCGGGCTCTATCTATACAGGAACAATTGACATACATACGCATACAAATCCCAGAAGCAAGGACGACTGAAATACAAAAACAACGAAAATGGCCTTAGTGATTACTACAACCGAATAACATTAACGTTTATGTTTGTTTTTGTTGCATGTGTAGGTGGTGGAGGAATTTGGATTTAATAGAGAATCTAAGCTTCACAAGGGACCGACTGGTTGAGAGCTTCTTGTGCACTGTGGGAGTATTTGAGCCTAAGTGCAGCAGCTTTAGAAAGAGGCTAACTAAAGTCATAATCATGATATTAATCATGGATTATGTTTATGGTTCTTTGGAGGAGCTACAGCCTACAGCAATTCACAAATGCTGTTGATAGGTTAGTATTGTCAATTGTCATCATAACATGGATTATATTTAATAAACTTAATTATCTGAGATCCTCACCCTCATTGTTGAGCCTTTCAAACTCGATTTATTACCATAAATTTCCTTCTAAATAGTTGCTTGTTGTATATTTAAGCTGGTAGTTTAGCTAGCTAATTAGTACTTGGAAGTAAACTCAGCAATATCAGTATTGATGTGAATGCAACACTGGTAATGGCTGTCATGAGATTCTTTCTTTCGCTAAAGATGTGGTTACTAGTCAGTCTTGCAGCTTGGCCAAAGATAAGTTGAGGAGTGACGAGAAGCTTATTAGCTGGTCTAAACCATCAGGAAAGTGGGCTCGTGTCAATACAGATGGGACTAGTAAGGCTAACCCAGGACATGCTAGTCTGGGGGGGCCGTATTCGTTATGGTAATGGGCAATGGCTTCTTGGTTTTATGGCAAATTTGGGTTAGAAATGGAAGCCATCTATGGTCTATGTTTAGCATGGCAGCAAGGATTCCAATTGGTGGAGTTAGAAATGGATTCAGCTCTGTTGGTCTATGCACCTAAGGTTCTCACGAGTCTTAATTTGATTAGGACACTTTTTCTAGAGCGATTTTGGTGATTACGATGTTCGAATTCGCCACACTTTTAAGGAAGATAATCAGTATGCTGATCAGCCGTTGACAAGTCAAGGCTTACTTTCTGTTTTACCCCTTGTTTGGATAGGGAGGAAAGTGAAGGAAAGGAAAACAAATAAGAAGGAAAGAAACGTTTTTTTCTGTTTGGTTTGAAGAGGAAAGCAGTGGAAAGAAAAAATATATTAAACAAATATCAAATTGATGGGATCCATTTTCTTCTCAAAATTGAGAGGAAACTTAAAGAAAACCGTGATGCATACAATTTTTTTTTTCATTCACATTTTTACCATCGCCCCAACCGTCCCCCTCCTTCTCTGCTCTCTGTTAACAAAACAGATATGGCTCTTCATCCATTCGCAGGGTAAGTTAGAAAGATATTAAGCCTCTCCCACTCGGGAAAGCTACCTTTCATGGGATGAGGCTGCCCCACTCTCTTGATTGCTTCTCGGGCTTTGTTGGTTGCTTTCTTCACAACCATCGTCACAACAGCAGCAAAATCAAAATCTGCAGGGGCAGCAGCAACATCATCAGCCTCCTGTTTAAAATATAAATAAGAATGATTTCCGTGACGTGGTACAAAAACTAACTGGATCTCCGGCTCGCGAGAGATTTTCTACCCCTCCACCCATACACCCACCCAAACCACAAAGCTCTCGTTTACAACGTATTCATCCTCCACCCTTGGCTCACGTTAGCAACCGCCCTCCTCCTCTGTTGAACAGCGTCATCCCCCTCCTCAACACCCACCCCTTACCACCGCCTCAAACCCTAACCCCTCCTCGTCCGTCGCCAACACTTTCATCCAGTGTTCAACAACACCTCTCTCGTCATTACCGTCATTTCCAACGGTTCACGCGGGGGCAGAATTGTCGATTTCTGTTTACATGCGGTATCTCCAGAACACGATCTCGGTCGTTGATTCCAACAAGTAGTTCTTTGGATTCTCGCCGCTGGCCCCTCTGGTTTCACCTCGATGGAACAATCTATCAGCTCCACAACAGCAATTTGTCATACTACCGTAGCAGCAAGGAGTAAATCCCTCTCAATCAGCGAGAATGGCAGTACCACAGCCGCAGTTTCAATTGCCAACGTCACCGCTGCCTTTTGGATGTTTGAATTCACAGCGGTCACCATATCCTTTGCTTTCTCCGAGTTTGTTGCTTTCGCCGTCTTCATTTCCTCCTTCCCCCATAGTGCATGTGCCTAGCCCTAGATGGAGAGGTCTTTAAAACTTCAATTAATTTTATTCTTCAGGTAATCATTTTTTATTATTCTTATTTATTTACAATAAGACGTTGTCGTTTTAGGGTTAGGGTTTTTAGATTCATTTAGTTTTTATTAATAGATGTTGTAAATAGTTGGTGGGGTGGGTAAATTATGTTAGCGGTGGCTGAATTAGAGAATTGTTTGGCGCTGGTTAATTAGTGGTTATAGATATTATATGAAAGGCATGTGAAATAGGAAAACCTCTTGATTTGTTATTTTGTTGGATATCTAGGGGGGTAGCCATATCCCATTAAAAGTTACTGAATTATAATTGGATTATGCTGCTGCTGCTTCTGCTAGAATGATCTTTGTAGAATTTGTTTGGGTCATTTTTGGATGAGATTACTTTCCACATTAAGTAATTTTATGAGTTTAAACTTGTTAGTATAGCACTCGTGGATTTAGGATAGTGCAAAGTCTTTCTTGTGCTTACCGTACGCTAGTTAGTATTGCTAGCAGTACCATCCAATTTGCTCTCATTTGTTTTTGGTAAATTGTAAACATGCAATCTTACCAGGAATAGAACAGCATTTTTGTAGTGGCTAGATTTGTTGAAGGAATAATTTTGTCAAGATTAATATTCTATGGTACCGCCATACCAGTTGCTTAGAAGTTTGTAAATTTTGGCTTATCATTGACTGGGTTAAATATATTCACTTGGCTGTTTGAATTTTACATACAACTGGAAACTGATTACATTTGGGAGTTCTTACTGAGTTTGGTCAGATGCAGAAGGGGTGTTGCATCTTTGACCGAACCTTTTGGAAAAGCTTTTCTAATTATGATTTAAGTGACGTGAATGTACTCGTGAGGTTCTAAATTTCTAATGTGTGTCGTGCTCTTTGTAGGCAAGAATCTGCCTTTCTGTTTATACTTTTCCTCCCACTCAATAGTTCGTTGGTATCTGAATCACCATGATAGATTAGAAGTTCTAATTTTACAGAAGTATATGTGACCATCATCTTTAGGTTTTATTAATCTTCTATTGAGTGTAGAATGAAGATGGAAAGGTTAAAAAAGGAGAACAGGGAGATAGGTGAAGCAAATTGGTGGGGGGGGGGGGAACCAATTTACAGTGTCGACTCATACCAATTCTAATAGACCAGTATGCTTCTCCTGCTCTGGTCTTTTTTTGGCAGAGCAAATGACTTCCAGAATGAAAATATTTATTACTGTTTGGTTAAAAAAATAAAAATAAAAATGTGTATAAAGAGTAAGAATTAGAATGAAAATTAAATATAATTTTATTTTCAAATGGGAGGTGGAAATAAAAATAAAAATGAGAATGAATTTTTTTCAAAATAATATTATTATTTTATGAAAAATGCCAGCAATATTCTTTTAACATTTTTTAAAACACTTGCTTTATAAAAATGTCTACGTGAAACTTTGTTAGCTATCTCCAACATTCAAAAAAAAATTAGAAATCAAAAGATGACTTTTAGAATTTTTTAATACACAATGAGTAATTAGTGTTATATAAAGTAGTTATTCCATAGATCCACTTTGAAGAGAGAAACAAGAGGGAGAATTAAAAAAAAATTGAGAAGACTTAGAAATCTTTTGATTACTTTTGGTGGGTTCGGATGTAATTTAATATGCTTATCTCTCTCTTCAAAGTGGGTTAACTATTGTATATGCATTAGTTACTCCTTGTGTATTTTAAAATTTCTCGATTCGGTTTATTCGTTGGTTGATTTGATTTGATCTTTAGGTCCGAGAACGAGATTAAGGGACTTTTGGTGTTTAAATTAGAGATTTAATTTAATAAACTAATAAAAGTTACAAGTAAAATGTAGTTTATATATAAAAAAAAAAAGTAAAGAGATCGGACGTTGGGTGAATATATATATGAATGGCTTACAAAACAAGGCCTAATCAAGCCAAGTCCTTCTTTCATAAATTTTCTTGCACAAAAATCCGGTACTAATGCTAGACTTGCAGTAGTCAAAACGGAAGAAGAATATTTTGCCATCATGTCCGAGATGGTACAAAATAGGTCAAGTTCCTCTCAAGCGGAAGAATCGGACCCCGAGTCGGCACTGTAACGAATTGGGTAATGACAACGAAGAAGACTCGCTTTGGAATCTTTTTCCAAGTTCACCACTCGTGAACTACAAAACAAAAATTGCACCTTCCGGGCAATTTTCTATCTATCGACAAAATCATCACAAAAAGTCACCGTTCATCCCACGTGACACGTCAAGACAAAATTGCTTTCGACGTCTTACTATTCATCAAGCACGTGAAGACACCGTAGCACTTTTTTACTATTCACTTTTACCGTACAAAAGTTACTATTCATGTCAACTTTACGTATATAAAGGAAGCTTATTTTCATTTGTTAAAAAAAAATTTAGAGAGCTTTTTAGGAGCTTTTCGGACATTCTCTAGGAGAGGATTCTCTTTGTAATTCTATTCCTTCAAGACTCAAACCTCGTAAAGCATTCACGCTCGCGTATCTATTGTAAGTTATGTTCTTGTAAATAAATAAAAGTTTTTATATTTATTATCTTTATGTTAGTGGTCAGCTCTGCCGCCCATTTATTTTGTTAATTTTAATTTTTAATTTGTTTTGTTCATCTACATCTCCGTGGTCGGCTCTGCCGCCCATATTATCTTTTGGTTTTTAAATCTATGCTTTTAGATTTTGGTTCTTGTTTTGCATCAATCTGTATTTCAACATTGTTTTATTTCATACCCCGCATCATTCATTAGATCTTTAGGATTATTGGTATCAAAGCCAAAGTTGTTCATGGGGTTGTATGTTTATGGTTTATAGATTTTATGTCTAGACCTTGTTCCGCAGCTAGAGTAGACCATTGGTTTGGTGTGGCAAGTAGCAAGTCCCGACGGATAGGGCCGTAAAGCCGAGGAATCACAACCAATGTACCCAAACCTCCTAACCATAGTCTAGGTATGGATTCTATGTTCTATAGATCTATTTTCTTTTCTCGCATCTTCTCCTACCGATTCTTCGATTCGAAGAAGATAATCAATAGTGTAGAATATGTTATAGAAGATTTTGAAAAACAAATTGATGATTGGGCAATACCCAAGATTCACAAAGATGAGATTTACAAAATCTCAAAATATGGTCTTTTCAAAATCGATTTTACTATCAAAACCGAGAAGAGAAATATTCAGACTTTCAAAACCCTTTGAAACAATTCATCTCCTTTCTTTCAAATTTCTTCAAAAGCATAAAGATAAAAATTTCAAGTATATTCATATCGGTTTAGTTCAAGTGGGAATTAAATCACTTACAAAAGAAGGATTGAATACCTCAATCTCGGCAAATCCTTAGAGACAATAGGTTTACAAATTTTCGAACTCTCCGCTTAGTTCAATTGAATCCAGCTTTATGCAAGTGGACCTATCGCTTTTGATTCTTACCTAAATTTTACCGTTTCTTTGAATCACAAAAACATTCCGGAGTCTTTAGTACTTCATATCAAAACCCATAATTATCATATGATGGATGGATCTATTCTAGTTGCATTAATTAAAAAAAAATTCATTATAAGGCTATGAATTCCGCATTTGCATCTAAACACAAACGGTAGTCGACCAAAGGTGAAACCCTTCTTCGTAAATAGATCCGATCAAATCCAATACCGTTATTCCCGGACCGATTAGGTGGAAAGACATAGTCTTACCCGATGAATGGATCTTAGAAGGAATAACCGGACATGGATCTCTACCAGGTCCACGAGGTCCCAAAACCAAACACACAAATTAGATTTATAACCCAACATATGGATGGAAGTGTTAGACTCTCATTTGATAGAAAGTTTACCGAGTGGTAGATTTTTTGATGTTGCCTCTAGTTCTATGACTTATGACCTAGGAAGATTTTCCGAGATTCCTTTAGTCATAAACTTACCAAATGTTAGAAGAGATACGGACTTAGACTCGAGTTTATCACCTCTAAGATAACCACGTAGGTTTTCAACCTCGGATGTCCTTAACCCGAGTTCTTCAAAATTTTGATTACCGTTCTAGTATTCCAAAACCCGGATATTCAAACCAAGAGGATTCTCCTCCTTTATCTCCTACCGTATTTGCTATCACTAATAATATTGCACATGAATGTGATGCCTTGTCCGATGATAGTTTTACGAGTAGACAAACAATATTTGCATGATGATTTCTATGCAAAACACAATTCGAAAAACGAATTTTGTTCTTCAAAAACTTTCCGGCTAACGGGAAGGATATTCAAAAAGAATTTTATGAGTTTGTGAATGATCATAAAGTTCATATATTGTTCTTTGATTGGTTTGAGATTTATGCTTCGACTAATGATATTGCTTATCCTTTCAAATCTGTGAAACCTATTATCGTCGGGAAAAAACCCCTGTGTGGGAAGTGGAAGGACGGATGATTCGATCTAACCATCCTCTACCTAGGAAATTGACATTCTCTCATGGAGAAACCAAGATAGAAGCTTGTCCGTACAGAATCCCAAAGATGATGACTCGATCAACATCAAAAATATTGTTCCATATATATATATATATATATATCGATTTTTAATAAATACTAATTTGTTAATAATTTTGATATTATCAATTTAAAAACCATTATTCAATGTAACTATATCGCAAGAATCGAGATAAATACTACCACACACACACACACACACACATATAACTTTTTTTAGAGCGTGAGATTTTGCTTTTAACTCGTTAACAATTCCATAGGTGGTAGGAGTCCGCACTTAGATTGGGTTTTGCGTTCGGTTAAAAAAGAACTACTTAAAATAACAATAATAATCCAAAAAAAAAGTTGAGAAAATGATGGGCAAAAGCAACTAACTTATTATATGCATAGATAATAACACTTCTTATACATATTTAAATTAATTTTATGTTGATAATTAATCTAAATTGGCTATTAAATTAATT